AACCGATCCGCCTCCGTTTCCCAGTCGGCTGCACTCCAACTCCCTGCGCTGCGACTGCCACCTGGCCTGGCTGTCTCCGTGGTTACGGCAGCGTCCGGCGCTGGGCCTCTACACCCAGTGCAGCGCCCCCCCGGCCGTGAGGGGCCTCAACCTGGCCGAGCTGCGCAAGGGGGACTTTGCCTGCACAGGTATGAAGCCCCGGCCCTAGGTGTCCTCGATTGACAGGAAGGTACTCAAAACAGGATGCGGAGATCGAATAGACAAAGGATTTATTAACTCAGGGCGCACTCTCAAGGAGTGGAAACAAAGTACAAAATAAGATCGCTATTCAAGATAAGATCGTTACTCAAGATATAAGATCGTTTCAGAAAAGTAACAAATCATTCTGATTTGTAACTTTGGAAAAAAGGTTGTGTAACAAAATAATAGTCGCGAGAGTCAGACAAAATTAGGAGGATCAAAAACAAAATCACTCTTTCGAGATATAACTAGATTTATCGTAAAGTTTGGTTCAAATACGAGGTTAATGCTCAGTCGGGGTCAAGAGAAGAAACACACCGGGAAGTGCAAGTGACCACCAACGAGATGTTGGTTACTTAACAAAATAAAACAGGAAGTGACAAATAATATGCCATTTTTTAGTGTGACTGGTGGCGTAATCATGTAATAATTCCTTATGACTAGATTTTGTATATAATTTTGTATATTGAAGTGAACATGTTAAGTGCAATTTGAAAGAAGAAATATAAAATATGATAGAAATACATTTTTGTGTTTATTTGATTCCTATTCAAGACACTTAAGATAAGATAAGAATAAAATAAGAATAACTATAGTGTTACTATAGGCGGCTACAGATTTGTTTAACATTTTTGGTTGGTGGTGTGCCTCGAGATTTTTTTCAAAACTGTACCTTGGCTCAAAAAAGGTTGAAAAACACTGAGCTAAATAACACCGCTGTGCCCCACAGAACAGCTCCTCCCGTCTATGGTGGTCACAAGATGTCACCACGTCCAAAATCAAACGCCTTAAAGCGAACAGTTATTCATCGTGCTATCAGATATTGGAGTAATTGCCCACTGACTGAATATACGTGAACTGAATAGTAAAGTATCTTTTAATTATTACTTGAAAATGAATTTTGAATTGTGAGTAGTGAATTAATTGTATGGAAGTTAGTATTAATAGATATGGATGTAATAACTTATTCGGATTATTTCTGATGACATATATAAGATTGTCTACAATGTTTAATGAAGTGATTTTTGTTTTGTTTTGTGGACCCCGGGAAGACTAGCTCGTCCCACTCTTGGCGACAGTTAAATGGGATCTTTTTTTTAACAATAAACAACCATAAACGGAAAAGAACTATGGCTTCGAGTAATGCATCTGGATGAAGTCTGATTTTCCCGGACAATTACCTTTCTCTCAACTACTGAATGTTTTTGAATTGACACTGTAACATACATATAATATATGACTGTACCCTGGGTATTGGGGGTATTGTATTTGTATTGTATTTGTGTTTTATGTGAGATAATATTCAGAAAATCTATAAAAATTTGAATTACAAAAAAACCAAAACAACCATAAACGATCTGGTTCCAGGCCACAGCGGCAGCGCCTTCGTCCAGCCCTGCAGTCTGGCCTCTGGCTCCTGTCCTCCCATGTGTTCCTGCAGCAACAACATCGTGGACTGTCGGGGGAGGGGCCTCACCGCCATCCCGGCCCACCTCCCGGACGCCATGACCGAGATGTTAGTAAACACACATTTAAACGTGTATATTAAGGCGTGCGAGAAAGATCATGTCTGATCCTTCTCACCCTGGTCACAAACTTTTGGAAACCCTCCCCTCTGGCAGAAGGTTGAGAACCATCAAGACCAAAACCTCACGCCATAAAGAAAGTTTTTATCCGGCAACAACTGGCCTCATCAACGAGGCCAGTGACCCCCAACTATTCTTCTTTCACCCCCCTCTACCCCACTAATTTACCCAATATACGTTCAACATTTTTTTTGGTTTGTTATTGGACATTCAACATTTTATTTTATTATTTATTATTATTATTATTATTATTATTATTATTATTATTTATTTTATTTTATTCTACATTGTATGTCGTTTCTTGCCTCATAGAAGTGTTGTGCACCTAACACCAAATCAAATTCCTTGTAGGTGAAAAACCTACTTGGCAATAAACCTAATTCTGATTCTGATTCTGATACAGATTAGTTTCTTCATGTGACGTTTATCTTTGTATATGTTTCAAGATGCTTCAGTATTTTCCAGGAAGTCTTTTAAGTGAAAGGTTTAGCACTCCCTTCAAATATAATCCCATCAGCTCTGAAGCTAAATGTCAAACTTCAGTCTGAATGACAGGTCAAGCAGGCATAAATGGGTTTTAAACACCTATTTGAAGACATCCAGTGTAATATTGATGCGACAGCAGTTTGGGCCTCCTACAGAAGAAGCTGAATCAGTTTTTTAACCTGGACATTGGTCCAAATAGGAGCACCTGATCAGTGGATTACAGGGTTACCTGCAGCTAACTACCGCAAATGAATGAATTTAACCAGAACTGTGTTTTTCTATTCAAGTCGTCTGGAGCAGAACGGCATCAAGTCGGTTCCTCCGGGCACCTTCACTTCTTACAAGAAACTCCGGCGAATGTGAGTCCTTTGCTCAGCGATTTACAGTGGGCAGTCAAAGCTGAATGAAAACGAATATCTACACCGTCCTCCACAATTATTGGCACTCCTGTTTTAAGTGTGGTTGAGGACTTCTAAAAATTCTCCTTTTTTTTAAAACAACATAGAGCCCAAATGCAAAAAAAGAGAAAAATCCAACCTTTTATTTAAGTACATTACTATGGTGGTAACAATAAAATCACACATTTAGAAAATAAAAAATGTGAAATCATGTGATTCAATGTCCAATATGGTCAGGAAAAGATGGAGAAAGCCACGAATTAAGTGCCTAAATGGTTTATTTATCGTCATAATGAAGATGCAAAATAGTGGAAACGAGGTTCTGCCGTGTGTGGAGTTTCTTAACACCTAACACAGCAGCTTTTAATCAGTACAACTTCTGTCCGTTTAAGTAATTCTATTTCCTCCTCAGAGACCTGAGTAATAACCAGATTTCTGAGATTGCCCCTGATGCTTTCCATGGTCTCCGAGCTCTCAACTCACTGTGAGTTTCATAGTTTTCTTTCTTAGCATCTTTTAGTAAGAATGATAAAAAAGTGTCTCATGATTTCTGTGAACACCTGTTGTATGCGTGTTTGTGTGTGTGTGTGTGCAGAGTTCTGTATGGAAATAAGATCACGGAGCTGCCCAGCGGAGTGTTTGATGGCCTGGTGTCTCTGGAGCTGCTGTAAGTTCAAACTACTGACATGGATGTTTGCAGTTTCACATCAAATAATATCAGAAGCTAAATTATCTGAAAGAAATCCTTCTTGTTTTGGTGGGATATCTAAATCTGCTCTCAGGCATTTAAAACTACTGTTTCTAGGCCTACTTATCAAACTACCCATACGTTTTTATAAGTGTGTGTCCGACTTGTGTAGAGGGAGGTGGTTTAGAATCTGCCTCGGCCCCAACCGGCCGAGGCAGATGGCCGCCCACCCTGAGCCATGGTTCTGCTCGAGGTTTCTGCCTGTTAAAAGGAAGTTTTTCCTTGCCTGTGTCGCCTAGTGCTTGCTCATGGTGGGAATTGTTGGGTTTCTGTAATTAACTTCAGAGTAGGGTCTGACCTGCTCTGTTTGGAAAGCGCTGTGAGACAACTGTTGTTGTGATGTGGCGCTATATAAATAAAATTGAATTGAATTGAATAGAATTGGTACTGCTACATCACTGAGTGAGTGATGCTCAGATCCCAGCCAGAACAAGTGATGTTGTCACCATGTTCTGCACTGACTCCGCTCTCCCGACGTCCTGCAGGTTGCTGAACGCAAACAAGATCCACTGCGTCCGAGCCACGGTGTTCAAAGACCTGGAAAACCTGGCTCTGCTGTCCCTGTATGACAACAAGATCCAGAGTCTGGCCAAAGGCACCTTCAGCTCGCTGCACAGCATCCAGACCCTGTGAGGAAATCACAGCGAGCAGGTTTTTTTCGGGTTCTGTCCGGTTTCGTTCGGATCGATCTGACCGATGTTTCCTCCTCAGCCACCTGGCCCAGAACCCCTTCGTCTGCGACTGCAACGTGAAGTGGTTGGCCGACTTCCTGCGTTCCAATCCCATCGAGACCAGCGGGGCGCGCTGCGCCAGCCCCCGCCGCCTGGCCAACAAACGCATCGCGCAGATCAAGAGCAACAAGTTCAGATGCTCCGGTCAGTGAGAGCCGCTCCGTCCGTGTCTGGACATCCCGTTTCCTCAACAATAAGACGAGTTAATCAGGAATCTTTAGTCTTTATTTTAAGATCGAATGACGAGATCTGACTTTGTTTCTGTCCTGATGTGTTTAAGGGCAGGACGGGTCCCCTAACAGGGCAAGTCTTAGATTGTTTAGAGTGTTTTAAAATAATGTCCAGGGAATACTCCCAGAACTAACGGATAACAAGCATACTGTTTTAACTTTTAACTCAGTTTCGCTGGCTTCAAAAAGGTGAAATATCAAAAGTGTACAGGTGCTACAGAAGTAAAAAAAAGAAAAAAAAGGAGCCATATTTACAACACCAATAGTAGCTGGGTGAATGCTAAGAAAAACTCCAGCATTTTCCATATCCCACATTATTCCAGTCTTGTGTGTGAAGACAGAGAAGGTAGACTACGATCCGTTTCCTGTTGCGTGTCGGAAAAGAGTCCGTGTGTGTGGCTGTGTACTTTCTAACAGCTTTATTTATGTGTGCTTTTCCCCACAGCCAAGGAGCAATACCACATCCCAGGTGAGCCTGTGTGTCTGTGTGTAGCCACATGCTGCCGGTGAAAAGCAGACTCCCACTTAAATCTATGATTTCTGATTAATATTTATTTATTTATTTATTTAATCAGGACAGCGCACATTAATGAACAATCTCATACAGATTGTAAATGAGCCAGATTCTAGCATAGTTGCTAGTTTACATCTGTCGTCCTGAGACAGGAAGACCAAACAACACAAAATCACAAAATACAAAATCAGTCCAAACACACGTTCAGACAATGACATTACAAAATTAAAATTAACTCAATTCAATTTCATTTATATAGCGCCACATCACAACAACAGTTGTCTCACAGCACTTTCCAAACAGAGCAGGTCAGACCCTACTCTGAAGTTAATTACAGAAATCCACCACTTCCCACCATGAGCAAGCACTAGGCGACACAGGCAAGGAAAAACTTCCTTTTAACAAGCAGAAACCTCGAGCAAAACCATGGCTCAGGGTGGGCGGCCATCTGCCTCGGCCGGTTGGGGGTGAGAGAGAGAGAGGGCAAGAGAGAGAGAGAGAGGCAGCCAACACAGCAACACGTAGACTAGATGAAAAATGGCAATGATATTAATACTAATGATAATGGTAGAAGTTATGACGGCAACAGAGCAGGAACACGGGGGCAGCAGGAAACTCCCAACCACAGATCTAGACTCCACAGCTCCAGGAACACCTGCAGGAAGTGATAGGAGGAGACTCCCAACCACAGATCCAGGCCCCACAGCTCCATGAAATTAGTGATTGCATGTCTGGGAACTTTTGAGAAACAGTTTAAGGTGCTTTTTAAATGTGTAAAAAGTGGGACCTTTCCTGATGTTTGTTGGGAGGCTGTTCCATAAGAGGAAAAAAGCTGGCTGTCAGCTGGGTCTGAGCACACGGATGTGTCCACCAGAGCCTCAGGGTGTCTCTGCCCGCTTTTCCGTGTAGGTGCGGACGACAGGCGTCTGAGCTACGAGTGTAACAGCAAGCCGGTGTGTCCGGCCAAGTGTCGCTGCGAGGCCAACGTGGTGGACTGCTCCAACCTCCGCCTCACCAAGTTCCCCGAGCACCTTCCATCCTCCACCGAAGAGCTGTGAGACACACCGACACACACCGACACACACACACACACATACGTGTTTTCATTATATACAAGGACACATGACAGAAATAGGACAAATGTTTAGGTGGCTTTCCAAAGGTTCTTAGCACAATAGAGATATTTCTTTTAGAGGTATTTTGGGGCTTCTAGAACACTCTAGTATGCTCAGAAAAATGAGGACATGAAAAGTGTCCTCATATTTCTACGCGTCCTGATATTGAAGGTGTGTATTCACAAAATTGTCCTGATATATCATGAAAACAAACACACACACAGACACACAGTACAAACATGTACAATCTGTGCCGGATAATGAGCAGGATTATGGATTCCTACAGCATGAATGGATACTCATTGCGCACCCAAACGCACAGTAACAAAACCAACTGGAGCAATGTTTTTCAAATCTTGGTTTTCCTCCCCTCTCTCCATCTCTTCGCTGTGATCATTCCAGACGTCTCAACAACAACGATCTCTCCGTGCTGGAGGCCACCGGGGCCTTTAAGGGCCTGTCACAGCTCAAGAAAATGTAGGTCGCCTTAAAATGGACGAAAACAAAGACTCAGCTTGGTCAGCTTCCAAAAGCAGCTAAGCTAGCACTCCACTGCTTACCTGTTCTGGACCGAGTGCGCTGCCACTTTCTGTAATGATAAATAATGACTTTGTGTTTCATCTGGCTCCTTCCAGAAACTTGAGCAACAACAAGATATCGGAGATCGAGGACGGCGCGTTTGAGGGCGCCTCCTCGGTGGTGGAGCTGCACCTCACCGCAAACCACCTGGAGTCTGTGAGAGGGAGCATGTTCAGAGGCATGGAGGGCCTGCGCATGCTGTGAGTGGGAAGTTTCTACCTGTCAATCTCCATGCCGTTCATTCTCCTCCGTGACGACGAGGAGTCGTTGAATTTCTCAAGTAGGATAAGTTGGGAAGTCCGCTTTTCCCTTTGGAAAGCGCACGACGCAAGTGGTGTCTACATCAACACAGACTCCCAAACCACATGTAGACATGTGGGAAATTATCTATCCATCCATCCATTATCGTAACCCCTTATTCCCTAATTTGGTGGCGGGGGGACTCGAGCCTATCCCAGTGGTCAATGGGCGAGAGGCGGGGTCACCCTGGACGGTCCCCAGTACATCTCAGGGCGACACAGAGACACGCAAGGACCAACAACCACTCACACACACTCCTAAGGGCAATTTGGAGTCCAACCAACCTAACATGCAGGTTTTTGGACAGTGGGAGGAAGTCAGAGAACCCGTAGAGAACCTACAGACACAGGGAGAACATGCAGACTCCACCCAGAAAGGTCCTGGTTCCCCCAGGGACCTGAACCCAGAACCTTCTTGCTGTGAGGCGATGGTGCTGACCACCACACCACTGTGCCAACTGTGGAAAATAATGTCAATTTGAATTACTAGCAAAGGCTGTACTCACCATCAGCTGGGACAGGCTCTAGCCCCCCCCGAGGCCCAAGTAGGAGTAATGGATGGTTGGATGGTGGGTCATCATGGCACTTATAGAACGAGCTCAGTGCTGGTAGATGGAGGTACAGTTGAGCCAGATAGTTCTTTCACAGTTTGGATTGGACCTTCTTCTAGCTGCTCACACCTGCATGAGTCAGAGCTCCACTCTTCTTTCCAGCTGCATCATTCTTAGAACATCACAAAAACAGCATTTCCCTAGTAGATTTCTCCATTTAAAATAATTGGAAACTGGACTTTGCTGAAACTTTGTGAGTTTGCTGAGGACGTGGAAGCTCTGAACATGGGCTGGAGCTGTTGAATTTATATTTCTTTATGTTTCTTACCCTCACTTACTGTCTCCATCTCTTCCCCTCGGGGCTCCTTCAGCTGTAGCAACATTATAGATTGTTTTTGGTTTTGGGGTATATTGTGACTCTAGCTTCAACTAAGTTTTATTGTAAGGGACCACATCTCGGTAAGGTCGTCTCAGAGACACAATCCAATTCAGGGGAGTTATAATCCAATTCTTGAGTTCCTGTGAGTCTCCAGCCTTCAGTATGTTATCCTCTGTACAGCGAACTAAATTCAGCTGCAGTATATAAAGGGCTGCTTCGGTTTTATTCAAACTTTGCCATGTTTTCTGTGTGTTTGCGCGAGCAGGATGCTGAGGAACAACAGGATCAGCTGTCTGCACAACGGCAGCTTCACGGGCCTGGCCAACGTCCGGCTGCTCTCCCTCTACGACAACCAGCTGAGCACCATCCTGCCCGGAGCTTTCGACACCCTGCCCCACCTGTCCACCCTGTGAGAGCAGCGCACAGAGGCACCCAACCGCCCACCCACACCCCTACCGGCGTCTTACCGCTCCTTTTCTTTCCTTGTTCGTCAGAAACCTCCTGGCCAATCCCTTCAACTGCGACTGCCGCCTGTCCTGGTTTGGGGCGTGGCTGAGAAGCCGGCGGATCGTGACCGGCAACCCTCGCTGCAAAGGCCCCGCCTTCCTCCGAGAGATCCCCCTGCAGGATGTGGCGGCGCCCGATTTCCGCTGCGAGGACGGTAGGACGCCGAAGGTGGCAAAAAAGGACGCCTGCGGGACGAGGGGCCGGTAAAAGCTTGAGCTGTCCGCTTTCAGGCTCCGTGACGGGGGGGGGCAGCTGCGCCCCGGAGCCCCAGTGTCCCGCCCAGTGCACCTGCATGGAGACGGTGGTCCGCTGCAGCAACAAGCACCTGCAGGCCCTGCCCAGAGGACTGCCCCGCAACGTCACCGAACTGTGAGGCCTAGAGATCCCGGAGAGCCAGAATTCAGAATTCAAAACGCCAGTTATCTCTCAGCCCATGATTGCAATCTGCTTGGCAATCTACTTTAGGACACTTACAGATCAATAAATGCCTAAAACTAGTTGGGGGGCCGGTCATGAGCCCTCACCCCTGTGGTCAGTTATGTGACATGGGTGCACCTTGGGTGGGAGGATCCAGGTGCAGGAGAAAGGAGAAGCAGGAAACTAAAAAAGGAGAGCAAAGTAAAGCACAGGGACCCAAATAGATCTAAGTCAATAGGAAAGACAATAAGAGCTCAAAGCTCAAACCCCAAGATGTCTTTGGACCAAGAGAGGAAGCTGAAGTATCCTGAGAACATGCAAAGCCTTATAAGGGCTTAGTTCAAATAAATTGAGCCACCCAGTTAAGTTCAGGTTCTGCTTTCATTCCTCTGTGGGTGCATCAGTGTTTTCCTTATCTGAGCTTTGAGAATCATTTAAAAGCGCCAGTATTCCTTGTTATATTCATTTTTGAGCACTGGTCAGTCACTCAATAGTAACACAATCCAGTAGAGACACCAAAGCCTTCCAGTAGCTGAGACTGCCTGTAAAAAAGGATTGAAATTACAAACCAGATTACATATACTTTATGCTTAAATATGAGCAGAATCATGCCTAGAATTGATTTAGTAGGATGCAAATAGGAAGAATAAGAGGAGTTATGGAAGACAGAAATATGAGAATCAACTGTGTAGCTCTGTTTTTTTTAATGATTCAATTTATTCATATGCTTACTTTAATCTTAATGATCACTAATGTTCAACAAATGTTTATCTTCCCCTCTCAGGTACTTGGATGGTAACCAGTTCACCACTGTTCCCCAGGAGTTAGCTGCCTTCAAATACCTACAGCTTGTGTAAGAGACACACAGCCAGCATCTGCAGCCAATACAGATTCCCTCCTACACACCGCAGACCGTGGAAGCAGATCCCTTTATTAACGTACCTTTTAGAAGCATTTACCTTGATATAGAGCTCGGCTTGGTAAAATCTGATTCATTCGTACGGATTTAGTTGTTCTGTCTCTTCTCTTTCCAAAATAAGGATGGATTATTTACCTGTAACGACTTTGTTTGACATTTTGCTTGCATTTATGCCTATTTAATCCAGGCACATGCTGCGTAAAAAGTAAGACATGTTGTATTTGGTGCTTATAACATATTCAGATAAAGTTGAGACGAGACACACAGTCACAGTCAAGTCACACCAAGCTAGTTTCAATACAGCTTTTGTTCTGATTACCATTTACCTTTGTTCCTGCAGAGATTTAAGCAACAATAAAATCAACTCACTGTCCGATGAGTCCTTCTCCAATATGAGCCAACTCACCACGCTGTAAGTTTTCACACACGCAGACCCACACACACTTTTATTTCACCACGTCTTCTATAGTTTTCCCCAAAAGCAATCAAAACCTTTAGAACTCCTATTACTCTCATAGTTCAGAAAAAAAGAACCATTTACTTGATTTGAACACATTTCAGCAGGTGTAAAAATGAAAACTGGACCGGACGTGTAATGTACGAGTTAGCGGACCCAAAAACACCCGGAGGCAAGGTGGTCAGTTCGAACGGTTTATTAACCAGGGCAAACCAGAGGGGGTGGTCAGGCAGGCGAGGTCGGCAACGGGGAGTCAGTCCGGGAACAATCCGAGAGGGGTAATCCAAAACGGGGTCCAGGGGCGAGCAGGGGTCGAGGCCGGGGAGACAGTCCAGAGGGATCAGACGGGAGCGCGGAGTCAGGCAGGCTGGGTCGGGGACACGGGCAGGCAGGCAGAGCACTGAGTCGGGCCAGGCAGGACTCAGGCGAAGCAGGATAAACAGACGAGGGACAGGCAGGCTCAGAGTCGGGGACGAAACGGACGTAACAGGCAGGCAGGCAGGAACAACGCTGGAAGACTCGCACATTTGGTTAGAGACGTTCTGGCCCAGGTGAGTGAGTGAGTGGGGCTTATGAACTGCCCATGGCAGGTGCGACCAATGTCGCTAATTACCGGCAGAGAGTGAATCAGCTGGTGGGCGGAGCCAGATCATCACAGGACGGGGGAAATTGCAATGAGAAAGAAAGTTGTGATTCACAGTGATGTTCTGAAGAAGCTGTAGACCTGTTCACAATACAGAGTATTTCAATGTATCTTTGATGTTTTTGTAGGATCCTCAGTTACAACTCCCTCCGCTGTATCCCTCCTCTGGCACTGGCTGGCCTGCACTCCTTGAGACTGCTGTGAGTACAAACACACACACACTCACACACACATCGGCGTCTGTCATGTCTGCCCACCCTGAGCCATGGTTCTGCTCGAGGTTTCTGCCTGTTAAAAGGAAGTTTTTCCTTGCCTGTGTCGCCTAGTGCTTGCTCATGGTGGGAATTGTTGGGTTTCTGTAATTAACTTCAGAGTAGGGTCTGACCTGCTCTGTTTGGAAAGCGCTGTGAGACAACTCTTGTGATGTGGCGCTATATTAATGAAATTGAATTGAATTGAATTAATTTGAATTTTGTAATGTCATTGTCCGAACGTGTGTTTGGACAGATTTTGTATTTTGTGATTTCGTGTTGTTTGATCTTCCTGTCTCAGGACGACAGATGTAAACTAGTAACTATGCTATAATCTGGCTCATTTACAATCTGTATGAGATTGTTCATTAATGTGCACTGTCCTGATTAAATAAAAATAAAATAAAATAAATAAATAAAAAATAAACCACAGCTGCTACACGTCAGCGTGCAGCTCTTTGGCCTCGCTGGACCCTCATTCTCCGTGTCTGGCCCTTCCGTCGATGGGTCGAGTAGGACCAGCTACTGGCCGCTCGCAGAGTTTCCTGTGGACCGGTCAAAGCTCTTCTGACCTGCGGCGGCGTCTGTTTTTCAGCTCTCTCCATGGCAACGACATCTCCGAGCTCCAGCAGGGGATCTTCAGCGACGTGGCCTCCTTGTCTCACCTGTAAGCACTTCCTGTTGAAGTAACAACACACCTCCAGTACACAAACGATGGCAGCTAAGTGAAACGGGTCTGCTTCTGTGTGTGTGTGTGTGTGTGTGTGTGTGTGTGTGTGTGTGTGTGTGT